CCTTCCCACCCCACGGGCTGGAGGCCCCCAGCACCCACTCAGGCATGGGGCCGAGTTGCTGGCAGCCCTTGGTGCATGGCTGGTTAGCAGAGACCAGAGTCTGCTGCCTGCCTGAAGCCATGTCATCTTTTCGGTGGGTCTTGGCATTGGCATGAGGTTGCTTCCTCCTGAAGCAGAGTGTGGGTGCCCTCCCACCAACATGCAGGATCAATGGTGGGCCTGGAGCAAAAGTTACTCAACCTCTGCCTCAATGTCCTTTTCTGTACAATGGGTGACAGTGGGATCACCCTCGGGGTTGCAGTGCTCAGCAGAGTGCCTGGCACGTAGGAGGTGTTTAATCAATGTAGGCTTTATTGTGATCACAGCTCACTGTAGCCTCAACCTCCCAGGCTCAAGCGATCCTTCCACCTCAGCCTTCAGAGTAGCTGGGACTACAGGCATGCACCGCCCTGCCTGGCTACTTTTTTGGTATTTTTTGTAGAGATGAGGTCTCACCATGTTGCCCAGGCTGGTCTTGAACTGCTGGCCTCAGGAATTCAAGAGATCTGTCCATCTTGACCTCCCAAAGTGCTGGGATTATAGGTGAGAGCCACCACATCCGGCCTGTTTTGTTTTGTTTTTGTTTTTTGAAACAAGGTCTCACTGTTGCCCAGGCAGCAGTGCAGTGGCACAATCTAAGCTCACTGCAGTCTTGCCTTCCTGGGCTCAAATCCATCCTCCCACCTCAGCTTCTCAAGTATCTGGGACTACGGGCACATGCCACCATGCCAGGCTAATTTATTAGTTTTTGTAGAGGTGGGGTTTCACTAAGTTGCCCAGGCTGGTCTCAAACTTCTGGGCTCAAGCGATCCTTCTGCCTCAGCCACCCGGAGTGCTGGGATTACAGGTGTGAGCCACCATGCACAGCTGTCACTCCTCTGTTGAAACCCCCAACCATTTCCCAATACTGCTGGTACCTTATTATGGGCCCTTATAGGAAACCATCTTTTTGTGTTGTGCTGTGACAACTCATGTGGCCCTAAGTCAAGTTAGGTGTCTTGTCATCCCACCCTGGAGGAGGACCTCTGGCTTCTCAGGTGGGGTGCTCCACGGATTCCCTGACCTTTCTGAATGCTCTCGGACATAGTAGGTATCAGTGTCCAGGGCTGAGGGGCCACATCACAGAGGCTGTTGGTTGTAAGAGCTGCTTTCCCCAGAACTAAGCTGCTGTGGTTTGGCCTTGGCTCCCCACAAGTCTGGCTTCTGCAGGAAGTTTGCTGAGTAGCCCACCTCTTCCCTAGAGGGCAGGGGATCAGGCATGTTTGGGAGGGCAGAGCAGGGCCAGGTGGGGGTGGGGAGCAGCACGCTCCGAAACTTGCCATCTACTCCAGTTCTCAACTGGGCTACTTTTGCTCCCCCGTGGGAGTCGAAGGTCAGTTTCTCGAGACGCTTTTGGCTGCTACACTGGGGATGCTATTGGCATCTCGTGGATAGGGGTCAGGGAAGCTGATAACCATCAGACAGCACCCAGGACAGCCCCCACAGCAAAGAATTATCTGGCCCAGCATGTCAGCAGTGCCGGGACAGGGAAACCCTGACCTATTCCTGGCTGCACAGTGAGACAAGTTTGGGAACTCCCAGGGTTGTAAAAGCAGTATCACCCGGATGGGTCAGCCTGAGCCCTTCATCCCTTCATCCCCCAATCCAAGAAGCTAGAGTCACTTATCCTTGCTGATGTGCTGTGTAATTATAGACAAATTCCTTGCCCCCACCAGATCCTTGGCTTTCGTTTCTTAGACACAGTGGTCCTAGGGTTGCCTTCCAGATGAAGTTTATCAAAGACTTGAAGTCTTGTGTATGTGGTCTTAGAGGACCCCAGGCTGTTATAGCGATCCATGAGGCATCTGACCCCTTCCAAAGGGTAAGGCTTTGTAAAAGGAAAGCAGTTCTGACTTTTACTTTGGGGTGGGGAGACTGCTGAGCAGCTGCTGCTGCTGAGTGAGATCTAGGCCCCTAGTGGAGGAAACTGTCCCACACCAAGTGGGTGCTCACCCCCAAGCCTGCCAGGTCCCAGGACTTAGCTGTTGCCGAAGCAGCTTTTCTCTTCTCCAAATAACTGTCCTTTCTTTTTGCTTAGCAGGCTTTTACTTTAATCTGTGTGTGACTGCACCAGAAAGGCTGACTTTATGGCAGATGCTATGGAACATAATCTGCTCACGTTTAGGCTGTAAATTTTCTTTTCTTTTCTTTTCTTTTTTCTTTTTTTTTCCTGAGATGCAGTCTTGTGCTGTCGCCAGGCTGGAGTGCAGTGGTGCAATCTCCACTCACTGCAACCTCCGTCTCCTGGGTTCAAGCCATTCTCCTGCCTCAGCCTCCTGAGTAGCTGGGACTACAGGCGCCCGCCACCACGCCCGGCTAATTTTTGTATTTTTAGTAGAGACAGGGTTTCACCATGTTGGCTGGGATGGTCTCGATTTCCTGACCTCATGATCTGCCCACCTCAGCCTCCCAAAGTGCTGGGATTACAGGCATGAGCCACGTGCACAGCCTAGGCTGTAAATTTTCCATGGTTCCAAAGTGCTGTGGAGTTCACTGGAACACATGCTGTCCTCTGATAATTGAAGTGGCTTAAAACAAAACAAGTCTTGATTGGGTTGAAACAAACCATCTTGTGTGCTTGTGCTTTTTTAAAACGAAAGCAAAACTGAGACCCTATCTCCAGTTGAGAGCTTCAGCCTCCTTCACCCCCAGAGATCCGGACTAAGTAAGGAATTTATTTACCGTGTGATCTTGGGCAAGTCCTTTCAACTTCTCTAGGTCTGAGTTGCAACTACAAAATGTGGGGATAAGACTCGATCTCCAAGCTCTCTTGCTGCCGCCTCTCACTCAGCTCCTGGAGTCCGTGGCTCTCAGGGAGGGAACCTGCTGTCCAACACTGCTCTTCCAGGGTTACAGTGTCCCTTCTGCAAGGCGAGGGCGAGCTGAAGAAATGAGCCCCCCTTCTTGCCTCTGTAGTTATGATTCTCAGATGCTCTCAAAATACCAAATAGCTAATTTAGTTACAGGGAACTGGTGGACACTTGTAGTTTAAATCTCTTTTCTCGGCTTCAAGGGAGTGAGCTGAGTTTGACAAGCACAAATGGAAAACTGTTCTCGGGTTCTTTCCTCTGGCCTTTGGGGATAGTGGATGATCGATGTCTGGGCAGAGTGGAGCTGGTTAGAAGGCAGGCTCTTCCTCCGACATCCTCTCCAACTCCTGCTTTCTGTCCTTGTGTCTCTTATCGGCCTCTGATTAGGGGTACTGATTTGCAAGTCTATTGGATGAAATTCTTCCTTTTTTCCTCCGGAAAAAGATGCCAGTTTTTCCTCAGGGACTTGTTCTGGGGGTTAACAGGAGAGTGGAAAGAAATTCACTTTTGCCCCAAAACCTCCATTTCTCTTGTTGCAGTTTGCTTTAAAGAAGAAAAGTCTTGTCCTTGAGGCTGACAGTGTGGAATAACTCCCCCAGGGCTGTGGGTGGGGGAGAGGGTGCAGGCCCTGGACTGGGGGTGCTCAGGAGCTGAGTGAAGGAATGCATAGAGGCCCTGGACTGGGGGTGCTCAGGAGCTGAGTGAAGGAATGCATAGAGGCCCTGGACTGGGGGTGCTCAGGAGCTGAGTGAAGGAATGCATAGAGGCCCTGGACTGGGGGTGCTCAGGAGCTGAGTGAAGGAATGCATAGAGGCCCTGGACTGGGGGTGCTCAGAAGCTGAGTGAGGGAATGGGTAGAGGCCCTCGACTAGGGGTGCTCAGGAGCTGAGTGAGGGAAAGGGTGGGGTGCTCAGGAGCTGCCAGTGAGGGAGTGGGTAGAGGCCCTGGACTGGGGGTGCTCAGGAGCTGCCAGTGAGGGAGTGGGTAGAGGCCCTGGATTCAGGGAGCTCAGGAGCTGCCTCTTTTTGGGAGGGCCCCAAATGGACTAGCAGAGTCCAAAGCTGATGTGGGTCTTGGGTTGGGATTATCAGTGTGTGTTTTTTTTTTTTTTTGAGACAGAGAATCACTGTCACCCAGGCTGGAGTGCAGTGGCGCAATCTCGGCTCACTGCAACCTCTGCCTCCCAGGTTCAAGCCACTCTCCTGCCTCAACCTCCCAAGTAGCTGGGATTATAGGCATGTACCACCACGCCCAGCTAATTTTTTTATTTTTAATAGAGATGGAGTTTTACCATGTTGGGCAGCCCAGTCTCAAACTCCTGACCTCAAGTGATCTGCCCACCTTGGCCTCCCAAAGTGCTGGGATGACAGGCACAAGTCACCACACTGGGCTTATCATGTACTTTTTAAAAAATTTTTTTTTATTATACTTTAAGTTCTAGGGTACATGTGCACAACGTGCAGGTTTGTTACATATGTATACATGTGCCATGTTGGTGTGCTGCACCCATTAACTCGTCATTTACATTAGGTATATCTCCTAATGCTATCCCTCCCCCCTCCCCCCTCCCCACAATAGGCCCTGGTGTGTGATGTTCCCCTTCCTGTGTCCAAGTGATTTCATTGTTCAATTCCCACCTATGAGTGAGAACATGCGGTGTTTGGTTTTCTGTTCTTGCGATAGTTTGCTGAGAATGATGGTTTCCAGCTGCATCCATGTCCCTACAAAGGACACGAACTCATCCTTTTTTATGGCTGCATAGTATTCCATGGTGTATATGTGCCACGTTTTCTTAATCCAGTCTGTCACTGATGGACATTTGTGTTGATTCCAAGTCTTTGCTATTGTGAATAGTGCTGCAATAAACATACGTGTACATGTATCACGTACTTTTAAAGACATCGTTTCATAATATGGCTGTGGAGACATTTGGCACCTGCACTGGGCGGCTGAGTTGCCTGCTTTGATAGTGCTTTGCCCAGGTGTTCGCTGAAATACTTTCTTCAGTGTTACAGGGTCAGCTTCATGTTTGGATAAATAAGCCTGAGTGTTGAATTCCTTCCAGGGTCTCTACCTTCTGCGGTTAATCTTCTGTGTGTCTTTCTGCTATACGTGAGGCAGTGCTTAAGCCTGCTTAATTGCAGTGGTTCACTTGAAAGTGCTGTTAGAAGTATAAATTAAAGGAGAAGACACTTGTTGGGTCCTGCCCAAGCTGGCATCTTGCTGTCCATTTAGGTTTGCTATTCAGGGAGGAGTCAAGGAGGGGAGAGAGATGGAGAGAGATGGAAAGATAGATCAACCTTGGGTCTTAACCAAGCAGGGGAAAGGTCTCCTCCCTGGGGTCCAACTGGAAAACCCCAGGCCCTCAGCCTCCTAGGGAGAGCCTGCCACAGCCATGCTTACCATTACCCAGGGCACAGTTCTGGGTCCTGAAAACCCTTTTCTAGGAGTAAAGGAACTTTCAGACTGAGCAGACTGCCCTCCCCAATGCCTTTCTCAGTGCCTCTTCCCCAGAGGCTGGGGAGAAGGAGGGGCAAGGGTTATCAGGCCAGCCTGGCCAGGGTGCAGCTGGGTGGGGGGTGCTTGATGCAGGGGGAAAGCCATGAAGCGTGGCGCTGAGGCTTGAAGTGGTGGCACCTTCCCCTTGCAGCCAGAGGTGCCTACCTTCTAGTGAATCATCCGCACATAGAAGCAATTTATGTTCTTCATTTTTCTTTAGCAAGAAATAATTTCCTACCCATTTGTCACTTTAAGACTAAGGGTTTCACACTCCCTGTGCTGAGAATATAGTAGCTTGTTGTACTTCAGTTCTATTTATGTCCCATTTGGGGGTTTGGGGGCTGCCCTTTGACAAACACACAAAAAGGAGATTGATACAGCTGGAGCCATAGACAAACAAGACGACAGGCCCTGGGAACATGGGAACCTCATGTCGTGCCCTGTTACCCATGGGGGCTTTGGCCTCAGTAAGTTATTACTGGCTAGTACCACCTTGTATATATCATCCTCACTAGAATGAAAGCACCCATGTAACTCTTAGTGAGTTGCTTGCTCTGCATTGAGGCCCCAGGGATATGAACCCCAGGCCGAGTCTGTGTGTGGATGGAAGGAAGTGAATGGACACACACAGAGCCTGACCCACCAGCTGGACTGCTGCCCACTTTCAGGGCTCACCCATCAGCATTTCCAGCCAAGGCCCTGTGGTGCTCGACACCATCTCCTTGCCTGCTGCCCTGCCCCCCGGCCTTGACCTGTCTGAAGATGAGACCACCTTTCCTGCTCTACGGGAACCCCTGGTCCTATGCAGGGTGGCCTAGTAGATATTAGTAATTCACGACCAAAACTCAGTGACTGCTGCAGAAGGTGGGCCTTTCCCATAAGCTCTTCACCTTCACAGTGGTCCTGGGAGACGGGTTCTCCTGAGTTCCAGGTGAGCAAGCTGAAGCTCAGAGGTATTAAGCAGCGTGCCCAGAGTTAAGTGTGCCCAGAGTTACACAGCTTGAAAGTGGCAGCACCAGGTTGTGAACCTGTAGCCAGGCTTTGAATCTAAAGTGAAGCCCTTGGTTATCCCAAACCATAGACCCTAAAGGCTAGCATGAGTGGGAGGGGACTCGAGGCTTCATGGGGAGTGAAGGCAGGTGGCCCCGGGCTTGGAATGAACCTAGTAAGGAGACAGCCTGGCTGTTCATCCAAACTTGCTGCTGCTGCTTTTTTTTCTTTTTCTTTTTTTTTAAACGAGGTCTGGCCCTGTATTCCAGGCTGGAGTGCAGTGGCGCCATCTCAGCTCACTGTAACCTCTGCCTCCCAGGCTCAAACCATTCTCCCACCTCAGCCTCCCGAGTAGCTGGGACTACAGGCACACGCCACCATGCCTGACTAATTTTTTTTTTTTTTTTTGTATTTTATGTAGAGACAGGGGTTTCACCATGTTGCCCAGGCTCATCTTGAACTCGTGAGGTCAAATGATCCGCCCTCCTCAGCCTCCCAAAGAGTTGGAATTATAGACGTGAGCCACTGCGCCCAGCCCCAAACTCACCTCTTAATATTCTGTCTCTTCTCTGAAGTTCCTCCCAGCTGCTCAGCCGATTGCCACTTATAGATATTTCCCCAGACGCCCCCAGCCTGTGCAGTTCCATCAGACTTTACACACACACAGAAGCCGAGCAGGGTTGTCCTGCTTGCTTGTGTTGCCTGCAGTCTGCATTTTTCAGTCCTGGCCAGCAGCATCATCGGCGGCCCTGGTCCTGCCAGACGCCCGGCATCGTGCCTGAGCCTGCTGCCCAGAGGGGATGCATTGGGAAGAGCAGGAGGCCATTGCAGGGCTGAGGAAGGACTGGAGCTGCAAAGGCACGCACTTGCCTTGGATGTTCCCTAATCTAAGCACAGCTGCACCCAGCTGGGGCTTGGATGTGACTCGGGTTGGGGATTGGTTTGGCCTGTGGCTGAGCCAATATCCTGGGAAGCCTTCAGAGTCAGGGCTGTTTGGTTCTAGGTGGCTTGTCTCCAGGGCTGTTTCCCCACGCTCCCTGGGGCTTACAGTTCTGTTTCTGGAGCTGCCTTGGCTCTGCCCGCCACCCTCACATCAGACTTGGAAACACCTCTCACCTGGATGACCTGCAGGGAACTGCTGCTTTGGTCCTCAGACTGCAGTTTCCTACATTACATACTTCCTTATGTAAAAAGCACAGTGCTGGCTACCTCCTTCTTAAGCTGTTCCCTCCAGGAACTGAGCAGGCCTGGGATGTGGCCAGAATGTGGCTTTTAGAATCCCTAAACCTGGGGAGATTATGGAGCCTAAAATATAATTCAAAAGAAATCTTTCTTTTTTTAATGATAAAAGTTACATGTTGTGCAAACATTGATGTGGCTTCTTTCTAGCATTTCTGATTGTGCAGTCCTGGGTGAGTCCATTGAAGCAGAATCTCCTGGACTCCAGCTTTGTCAGTGCCCAAAGCAAGGCTTGGTCTGCCTGTAGGATACACTCAGGGATGACTCCTGAGAGCCAGTTGTTACATTTTCAGAAATGTGTGCAAATTGTTAATAGCCATTCTTTATAAAAACAAATTATTTAAAATTATAGTGAAATAAATTAAAAACAAGGGTAGCCAATGCTCAAAACTCATCCCTTCCTAATTGTTTTACTATGTTATTTATCTGTATGCACCTGTTGTGTCTATATATAGTGAAATGTCACAGCCCACACCAAATCCACGTTCAGTGACATCATGTTGGTAGCTCTAAATCAGCCCTGGTGGGAATATTTCTGTTCACCACAGAAATTGGCAAACACTATAAATTTGGGTTTGACTTATTGTTTTGATAATTGCTTAGACTTAGAAAAGTGGTAGAGAGAATGCTAATCAGATTAAACTTAAAAGTGTTTATATATGGTCCAGCACGGTGGTTCACGCCTGTAGTCCCAGCACTTTGGGAGGCCGAGGCGGGTGGATCACCTGAGGTCAGGAGTTCGAGGCCAGCCTGACCAACATAGAGAAACCCCGTCTCTACTAAAAGTACAGAATTAGCTGGGCATGGTGGGTCATGCCTGTAATCTCAGCTACTCGAGAGGCTGAGGCAGGAGAATCGCTTGAACTTGGGAGATGCAGGTTGCAGTGAGGTGAGATTGCGCCATTGCACTCCAGCCTGGGCAACAAGAGTGAAACTCCATTTTTGAGACAGACTCTTACTCTGTCACCCAGGCTGGAGTGCTGTGGTACAGTTATGGCTCACTGCAGATTTGAACTCCTGGGCTCAAGGGGTCCTCCCACCTCAGCCTCCCAAGTAGCTGGGACCACAGGTGCATGCAACCATGCCCGGCTAATTTTTTTATTTTTGGTCGAGATGGGGTTTCACTGTGTTGCCCAGGCTGATCTCGAACTTCTGGGCTCAAGTGATCCTCCTGCCTCGGCCTCCCAAAGTGCTGGGATTGTAAGTGTTAGCCACCATGCCTGGCCAAAAGTGTGTCATTGTAAATGACAGTATTCAAAACTTACCATCCAATTCAGCAAAGAAGTGGCTCATATCGTTGACAAACATGAAATTCTGGGTGTTTTTTTAAATTTCAGTTTTATCTTATTTGTTAAGGTACATGAAAATATCAACCATTGCCCATGTTGGAGCTACATGCAGAGGGTTGGTTGTTAAACCGCACACTGCTGAGTGCAGCTGTGCTGCGTGGCCCATGTATTTCAACACCTGTATGCCTTTGCTCCTGGCTATTTCCTTTTACTGTCTCACCCGAGTCCCCTTTCATTCATTGACTCATTTATTTAACAAATAAGTATCCAGTGTGGACTATGTGCCAGGCACCAGGGACACAGCAATGAACAAGACAGACACGAAATACAAATTCTGTTCTAGTGGAGTTAGAGGAACAGTAAGCAAAATAAACATGTTAACGGCGTGGTATGCAGTTTCAAACTCTCCCGTTTTCCCCAGAGCACAAATGTCCCCCTCTGTATCTTGCTCTCCCCCATTGAGGGTGAGTTCTGCCTCCATTGTGGCCAGATCTTTCAACCTCACACCGAAGGAGACAAGGCTTAGCTTGAGCACAGGGTCTGAGCAGAGATGTGTGCATAGCCGGGAACTGGAGACCGAGGCCTGGCTTTGTGGAAGACAGGCAGGAAGCAGGAAGCAGAGCCACAGTTTCATTGGAGTTCGTGAAAATGGGATGTCTCCTCCCAATGTAATGATGTGCTGAGTGTTCTCAGTGCTGTGTGTGGGGCTGAAGGGAGATCTAAGATGAAACCTTTGCACCTGCAAGGAGTTAAAAATATGTAATGAAAGAAATATCACAGGATAGTCTGCTCATTCCCTCATCCACTTGTTTTGCAAATGCAAGTCCTATCCCACATCAGGTGCTATAAGCTCTATAAACTGTAAAGCCAAATGATCTATGGTCTCTCCCCTTGAGGAATTTTTTAACTTGGGGGCAATTTATAATCCAGATTGCTGGCCAGCGAACAGTGGTCAGAATGCTCCGGAAGCCTTCCCCATCTCTCTGGAGTCATCAGGCCCTTGCAGGTAGTCAGCCTCCTCTCTCTGTTGTCCCCTCATTAGAATTGACCTCAGTTTATAATTCTGCATCTGTTTGTGTGTTTGACTGATGTCTATCTGTCTCACAAGAATGTCAGCTTCAGGAGGCAGGGACCCATGTCTGTCCTGTTCACAGGGCCTGGCTTGAGGAAATGCTCAGGAAAACCTTGTTGAATAAGCAAATGCAGGGAGGAGTGAGAGTGGAGGAGGAGATGGTGTGAGAGGCCTCACGGGTGTCCTGGAGAACGAGCCTTTGTTCTTTGACATCAGGCAAGTGAATCCAGACTCCTCAGCATTTGTCCAGGTGCAGGTAGACAACACCTCCATTGCATAGCCTTTTCATATTCCTCTATGGAGGGACCTCTAGAACAGAGCACAGCAGTTTGCATTGCAGTTTATACATGAGTCTTAACATTTCCTTGTGTCACAGTCTCCTTGCTGACCTTATAAAAACTATAAATGCTCCATCCCGGAATAATGCTCATGGCATGCACACATGTGCGCACGCACACACACACACACAAACACGGTTCCCTAAAGCCCATCCATACACTCCAAATCAAGAACTCTGTTTTTAAAAATGTGGTCCCATCTGGGCGTGGTGGCTCACACCTGTAATCCCAGCACTTTGGGAGGCTGAGGCAGGAGGATTGCTTGAGCCCAGCAGTTCAAGACCAGCCTGGCCAACACAGTAAGATGGTCTCTATTAAAAAATATATTTAGGCTGGATGCAGTGGCTCACACCTGTAATCCCAGCACTTTGGGAGGCCAACGTCGGGGGATCACGAGGTTAGCAGTTCAAGATCAGCCTGGCCAATATGGTTAAACCCTGTCTCTACTAAAAATACAAAAATTAGCCGGGCATGGTGACAGGCGCCTATAGTCCCACCTCCTCGGGAGGCTGAGGCAGAAGAATTGCTTGAACCCGTGAGGCAGAGGTTGCAGTGAGCCGAGATCGTGCCACTGCAGTCCAGCCTGGTCAACGGAGTGAGACTCCATCTTAAAAAAATATATATATATATATATAAAATAAATAAATAATGTGATCTCCATAGCAGACACACCTCCTGTTCCTCTTTAGCCCCAATGTCTAGCACAGTTCTTGGCATATGGGCAGCACTTATTGTGTAATACAGTACCCGCCCCTTACCTGCAGAAGATAGGTTCTAAGACCACCAGTGGATGCCTGAAACTGCAGACAGTACTGAACCTTATATATACTATGTTCTTCCTATACATATGTCGCTAAAGGTTTAATTTACAAATTAGGCACAGTAAGAGATTAACAACAATAATGGAACAATCTACTATAAGAAAAATTATGTGAATGTGGGCTTTCTTGCTCCCAAAATACTTCATTGTACTGTACGCACCTATTTTTGGACGTGTGGGTAACTGAAACTGCGGAAAGTGAAACTGCAGATATGGGGGGATTACTGTATTGGGATTACTGTGTTGGGGGTGCCGTGGGACGAATGGGGAGATGGGTATGTAAAAAGAGTGTGTGGGTTTGCCATGACCTACATAGAGCTGAACTGACAATTCCATTGAAGTGGTGAGGGAGAGGGCCCCTAGAGCAGAGTGCTAGCACTCTACCACTGCTCTGTCCTGGCCCTGTGGGTTCTCCCCATACCCAGGAGGCCCACCAAGTCCATAAGATCATTTTCCAAATAAAAAGTTAGAACACGGTGTCTCACACATTGTCTGATAATGGGACATAATATTTGAAATTGGGCCTGTCTCACAAAACCAGGGGTTATATGAATTTAAAGGAACATGACTGAGTCCTTCCTGAGGCTGGCAGGGTTCTTCTTGGTGATTCTTTAAGCCTCCCAGAAGGGGAATGATCAGGGACTAGGCTGTATTCCCCATAGAGACTAGGTTATTCTGGGTAGAGGGGGCCAGTATGGCAGCCCATCTACCCTCCCCACTCTCTGTGGTCACCTGTGTTGGGGGACCTGAGCCTTAGTGGCACCCCTATGCTGCTCATTACCACCCCAAAAAGTAGTCAATCCTGGCTTTTAAAATGTTCAACCCTACTATTTTTTTGTTGTTGTTGTTTTGTTTTTTTACTTTAATCCCTATTTTTCATATGAGGCATTTGGCAATGCTGATTTTTAGACTCCAGAATAGTTCAAAACCATGGGGGAAAAAACCTTACAGTACTAGAATTTGCTTGAAAAACAGTTGTCAAGGAAATAGATTTTGCAAAACATTTCCTCCCAGGAGAGTGCTCACTTTCCATGTATCCCCACACTGAACATTATTCTGCCATATGATAGTGGTAGGCAAAGGTACTATAGACAGATAATTTGTCTAGCCAACATCTAATTATGAATTAAAGCCCTGGCTGGCACTTTTACAGCTCGGCAGCCAATGGTGGACAGAGTTCAAGTCGAGTTTACAGTGCATCTGAAATGTTCTCGGACATACAGGGATGACGGAAGATTTCTTGGCCTTGGCTACAGACTGGGGAATAGGATTCTGTAAACTCTATTAGTAGACAATGGAAGTGTCTGATAGATGGAGCTGAAATTGCAAAGCATTGTTCGATAAAGGGGAAGAGTTGCTGGGCGGGGGCTGTGACTCAAGGTACTCATATAAGGAGGCACTTATTGCACGATTGGACATGCTGGCAGCCCAGACTCCAGCCAGTGCTACTTGGAGAATCCGTCACTGTTAGACATGCCAACAAATATATGTACTGCTCAGTTGAGAGCAGACCTCACAAGCGAGGCTGGTGGCTTTAATTATCACTTGTGAGAACTTAGTCAAGAAAGTGCTAGCCTGGTTAGAGTTATGGCCACCAATGCTGGCAGGTGGTTAATTATAGGCCCCTCCATTCCCACAAAGGTGCACGGCCTGTGTAGAAACAGTTTCTGACAAAGAGGCAGAGACATGGTTGTGTCTCTTCATTATTTCCATTTGTGTTAGGATCTATTGTATTTGCAATAATCTTTAATTATAGAGGCTATTACTATGGAATGGATTATCAATGTTACTCGTTTCTGCAATGTTGCCTGGTAACGTCCCTTTGTGTCTGAGACACACGTACACACGTCTCTGTAGTTATGGGCTGTAGAAGTGATACCTTCCTCTCAGCCATTTGCCATCACAATATTATAAAAAGCTATTTTAGGAAGTGAGAGTGCCCAATGTGTGGGGTGAAAAATGGACTCGGTGTGATAACAGCCTACATCTTCAAAAAGACTTAATTTTAACCGGAGTAGTTCTGCACGATACAATATTCCCCAGTAGCAAGACAGAAAAATGCTTCCAAATAGTTAGCTGCATTCTGCCATCATCTTTGGATAACGCTCTATCCCATTACAGACCAATCTCTGCCTCGAGACCCATTTTGCACACCCCTGACATGAGAAGTGGGAGTCTTTAGGTTTTTGAATATTTCCAACCTAAGAAATGATCACTGATG